AGAAGACACGGCAAGCCTTGGAACCCCAGCACTGGGCCATGGTCTTCAAGGGGAACGGGCTCATCCGGGGTCACACAGGAAGAGCCCCTCCCCCACTGTGATTCCCAGGGAGGCCTGAACTCGAACCAGGTCAGCAGAGCTGCTCAGACGGCAGACTGCAGAGGGCCCCGGGCACGTCACCCACCTGGGCCTCTCTTCCGCCCCCGCCACCCCTCCTCCTCACCACTGCCCCCGGGCAGCCCCCGTGGGCAGAGCTGAGAGTCCTGATGGAGGCCAAACCTCCCTTCGTGCAGCAGGCGACGGGGAGGCTGCCAGGGTAGCCCTGTGGCTGAGCCGGCTCATGGCTGACTCCGCAGGCCGGGCAATAGCTCCCTTGCAAAAGCTCCTCTCTAGCCACAGACGGCACCCTGGGAGGCTGGGGGAGGTGGGAGTGAGCAGCAGCCAGGGCCTCTGCCACCACCAAGGGGCCTCGCGGTGCTGAGAACGGCCAGAAGCTGGGCACGGAGCTCAGGAGCTGTGAAGGGGAACTGCAGTCTCCGTCGGAAGCTTCTAGAGCCGTGGTGCGCCCAGGCTCGGATCACAGGAGCCTGTGTGACCGTGGCACCCTTCAGCTGTCAGCTGACCCCCAAGCCTCATTCTGCCCTGTCCAGCAGCATACCACAGTCGGGAGCCGTCGGCAGCACCGCAACAGCCTTCAGCATTGTGTGTGTGGCAACAACCAGCTCACACGTTTCGGCCCTGCAGAGCAGGCCCTCCCGCTCAGGCTGTGAGAGACCCCCCACCACCACAAGCCATCCCTGCCAAGCTTCGTCATGGTGACCTCCGGGCAGGTGCTGTTGGCAGTGCTGTTGGCGGCCACCCCCACTTTCCAAGGTCACCAACACACAGCCTCTGGTGGGGACACTGACTCCGTGTCCAGGGCAGAGCTCAGAGTGGCAACCAGCTCCCGTCAGGAGGATAGATGAGTTCAAGGTTCACCAGGATACCACCCAACCCCAGAATCTCGCAGCAAACACAGCCCTCGAGGGACCCTTAAAACGCAGAAGTCCAGTTGGATCCACTGCAAACTAAGACTGAAAACCTCACCATGGTCTCAAAGGCCCGCCGCCCACTTGAGGGATGGTCCAGGCTCGGGGCCCTGGCACTGGATAGGAGGGCATCAAAAGGACTGCAGACATTTTGGACAAAAGCCCTCCTGGTGGCCTGCCCCGAAAAGACGAGTGGGAGAATGTTTTTCATGGCAACGCTAGATCGGGACAGGCATGCCTGGAACCACTCGGGCCACTTGCAGTCCAGGGCCAGCCAAGTAAGAAAGTCAGAGAAGCCACGTGCCGCGGCTTCCCAGCCCCTCTCAGCAACCCCGCCCTCGGAGCCCAGGAGCCTCTGCTCCCGGTGATGCCACAGGTGATCCCACAGCGCTTCTCCATGAAGACGGGGCGCTGCTGCCGCGCCTCTCAGAGCCAGCTCACCCCACGGCAACCAGGCTCTTGGAAATCTGATTACACTAATTATCCTGTCCAGACGTTAATTGGTAAACCAGGAAGGCCATGCACTCATGGACAATAGGAGTATACTTTGGCTCCCGAGCTGGTCTGCCTGAGAGACGAAATTATACACCAACAGTTTACTTGGGAGCAAAGAATGAGAACAAGGAAACCGGCTGGCATCCAAAAGAAACTCTTACTGAAATAATGGACCCTGTCCCCGGGCTTCCTCGGGAGGTTCTGCACAAAGAACTGCCCCGGGCCCCTGACTGCGGCCCTCCCGAGCCCCAACCCAGGGGCCCCTCGCCTGTTAAGAGACTCTGGAACAGGCCGTGGCCACGTCAGGGCACCCCGAGCCTGGCCACAGCCCATGCTGTCTGTTTCATAATCATTCATGTTCAAGTCACTTCAGAGAGCGGCGTCTGCTGGTGTTTTTGCTAAGAAACTGGGGCTCAGTTCATTTAGGAGGATTCTTGTGGTACTCAGGGGGCTGACATTGAACCCATGTCTACCCAAAAGGGCCCCCAGCTGCAGGACCCTCCCTAGTCCCCTTCAGCCACGAAAGGAAAAGGAGGTAGGAGTGAACAGGAAGCCCAAGGGACTGCCAGTAGGTGTAACCATCTAGAGAGATGGCTACCATCAGCCAAACAGATAGGACCAAGTGTACCCCCATACCAGACCTGCCCTCGAGTCTAGCCATCAGCCACGTGGCTCGTGGGTGAGGGGCCGGGCTCCACCGAGGCAGGTGTGGTAGCAGAGGCAGGGTTAGAACTGACTGGGACTGACCGGCAGGCCCACAGAACAAGGCTGCAGGTAAAGCAGCCGAATCTAAGGGTGGCCTCATTGCTGCAGGGGCCCCTGTGGGCAGAGCCGCTCCCCTGCGACTGGACCCGACCACACCTGGAGTGCCAGCCTGGGCCCATCGGTCGCTCCACACACGAAGCCTCTGGTTCTCTTTTTTTTTTTTTTTAATTTTTTTTTTTTTTTAATTTTTTTTTTTTTTTTTTTTGACAGGCAGAGTGGACAGTGAGAGAGAGAGAGAGAAAGGTCTTCCTTCGCCGTTGGTTCACCCTCCAATGGCCGCTGCGGCCGGCGCGCTGCGGCCAGCGCACCGCGCTGATCCGACGGCAGGAGCCAGGAGCCAGGTGCTTTTCCTGGTCTCCCATGGGGTGCAGGGTCCAAGCACCTGGGCCATCCTCCACTGCACTCCCTGGCCACAGCAGAGGGCTGGCCTGGAAGAGGGGCAACTGGGACAGAATCCAGCGCCCCGACCGGGACTAGAACCCGGTGTGCCGGCGCCACTAGGCGGAGGATTAGCCTAGTGAGCAGCGGCGCCGGCCCGCCTCTGGTTCTCAAAGTCGGCCCCCCACCACCAGTATCGCCTGACACCGTGTTAGAGCTGCAGCATCCGAAGTGAGCACGAGGTCCCTGCTAACTGCAGTAAACAAGCCTGTGGGGGCCGCTGAGGCTGGCTCAGCATGGGGAGCACCTGCGGGGAGCCCTGTCCAGGTGCCAGCTCGCTCCAAGCCGGGAACACAAAGACTGGGGAGGCACGGCCCTGCCCTCCAGGAACTGAGCAGAGCTGGTGGCCTCGGGGAAGGAGATTTCAGGGGTGACAGTAACTATAGCCAGACACATCAGCCAGCTGCCCAGAGCAGTTGAGAAAGACTCCTTGCTCTGGTTTGGGTCACTGCCACCATCTGGAGACATCAGCAGGTGAGACAGGTAACCCAGACGCACAGTGAGTGTCTGCCCCATCCTCTTTTCTCCTCCATCTACTCACACACTTTGCTGAGAGTGAAGGCACGGACATCAGTGTTCTCCCCAAGTCCTGGCTTCCATGTCCACCCCACCACCACCACCTGCTGATCATCTCCACTGAAGGAAAACTTAACCAGCACTCACCGGGGACTTAGCCCATTATGTCGCTCCCCGTCTTCGTGGAGGAACGACACAGGACCCTGCGCTGTTCTTTCGTCTGCTCGGCCCTCCCCGGGTTTGCTGCTGGTTCTTCCCGGGTTGGCTACCGTCCCTCCACCTCCGTGGAGGGGCGGGCCCCCTGCCTCTTTTCTCCACTTCCGCAGGGGAGCGGCACACCGCCGGCCGGCTCTCTCGGGGGCTGCACAGGTCGGGTGAAGGACCGACATCACCTAGGAAGCAGCCAGAATCCGGCCACAAATAAGAGCCTTGCTAAGCCCCGCCCACCCCCACCAGAGTGCAAGGTGGAAACAGGGCTGCTGGGGGTCTGTGGGTGCGACAGCAAGGCCATGGCTGTGATGGAGGAAGACAGCAGAAGGCTGTGGGAGGGCAGGGGTCAGAGACCCCAGGGAATGCGACGGTGCTCCCTCACCACCCAGGGGTGGCTTCAGGCAGGAGCAGCACCAGACTGCGGCCCTGGAAGTTGCCAAGGTCGACGTGTGGCTGTGGGGCTCAGGGGTCAAGGCTGGGGTCAGGAAGATCCCTGGACACAGGGGCTCTTCAAGAGCCATGCTTCCGAACTCCCGACTTTACAGGCCCACAAACTTGCAAGCACGTCTTACTTCTGAGACCCACAGGAGACCACATCTCTTCTGAGTCTTTGGTAAAATGAAGGTTGTTTAAAGCTGGCTTTCACTTCCACAGATCTTTAAAGAAGAGGCGGGAATGATACAAGTCCACGTCAAGGACAGCCCATGTCGAGAAGCCGCCTTGTCTTGTTTTGACCAGACCAGGTTCACCCAGCGGTGTAGACTATGAAGAGCAGCAGGAGTTGGCGATGGAGACCAGGGGAGTGGGGACGCTCCGAGGACAGGACCACCCTTCCCTGACAGCCCAGGGTCAGCCCCATGCCTCCAGGCTGTCCCAGCACTGCTCCTCTTGTTTCCTCCAATGCTTATCCACCTAGAGGAATCTTGTTTTGGCTTAGGCAGTAGGATGATGCTAGGATGCCCATGTCCCATATCAGAGTGCCTGGGTTCAAATCCCCGCTTCACTTTTGATTCCAGCTTCCTGCTAATGTGCACCCTGGGAGGCAGGGTTGGGTCAAGTAATTGGGCTTCTGCTACCCACGTGGGAGAACTAGAACTGATGGAGAAAGGAAAAAAAGCCTTAGATCCATGTTGACTTCTACACCTACATAACAGCAAGCAGGCCCCCATTTCTCTGCCCTGCTGACACAGCCCACCCTGCCTTGGCCAGCCATGCCCTGCCTGGACAGCCTGACACAGCACTATCTGAAGAGTCCAGCCATCAGCCGGAGCTCCCCCCACTCCTCCCAGCTCTCTCCCCCCAGTCGGCAGCTCGGCCCCAGAGCCGAGCCTCAGCCTCAGCCCAAAGCCCTCCCAGCTCACACTGTGGTCCCGCAGGACCTTCAGAACGAGCCCAGGCTCTCCGTCTCTGCAGCCCGGCTTCAGCTCAGACCCCCGAGCCCCTTCCCGCCACTTTGTACATGAACCACCAGTCTGCAAGGGAGGAGGCTCCCTCTCTGTGTGCATTCACCTGGGAGTGAGCCCCTCCCAGGCTTTATTCTGAACAAACCTGCTCTGGCCTTGGCTTTGGGCTCCGTCTCTTCTTTCCTGACAAGGCTGAGTTCTGGATGTCCAGCTTCAGTCTGGCCCAGTCTGGGTAGTGGTGGGCATTTGGGGAGTGAACCAACAGATGGGAACTTTCTCGCTCTCTCTCTCTCTCTCTGATAAACAAATAAGTAATTTCAAAATACTAACTTTAAAAACACAAAGGTGATCCCAGTGTGCCCCTGGTTAAGTAACCCCCAGTGACTGTCAGTGTGTCCAAGCCGACCTGGGCAGTCTGGGCTCCTACCTCCCATCACAGGGTCCTGACTGCTGGAGCTTCCTGCCCCTTATACTGGAAGGGGACAGGTCAGGTGACATCAAGTGCCCACCGCCCCAAGGCCCTTCCCTGTGCTCACTGTGCCCCCTCAGCCATCATCCAGGGCCCTGGGGTGCTCTGCTCTCCTCTCCTTCTCACCTTCCCCAGGAACATGGTCCTTCCAGGCCAGTGAAGTCACTGGGGACAGAAGGAGAAAGTGTGAGCCAGAGGGAGGTGGTGCAGCTGGTGGGACACTTCCTGTGTCACCGTGACCAGGACAGCAGGGAAGATGGGGGGGTAGGGGACCAGTCCTGGGCAGGACCCAACAGGGCCCTGGACAGGCTCTGGGCAGGGCCACAGCCCAGCTATCCACTCTGTAGTATAGAGAGGCCATTCTGCCAGCCTAGCTCGACTCTAGGGACAGAGGCCATGGCTCTTGGCTGCAAGCTAAGGGGGCCAGGTTGAGCAGCCCCTCCCCACCCCCCAGGGCTGCCCAGCACCCAAGGTAAAGCCTGAGAGACAGAGTGGGTAATGACGTGTGGTCCCCTGTGGTCCCAACATGAGCAGTCTGGAGGGTTGCCCTGGGGACACAGCAGCCACCACTGGGCCCTTGCCCTGCCCGGGGCTGATTCACACAGAGTTCAAGGCTCATCAGCAAGGGCCAGGTCAGCCTTTGTCACGGGTTTGGCAAGTGGTGTTGAAAACCACAAGTGTTGTCACTCCGCGGAAACTGGAACAAAGGGGAGTTTAAGGGCACACCGGGCCCTGACAGGGACACAGCACGCAGCCAAAGCAAAGAGAACCAGAGGGCCACCGTGCCGCCAGCTCAAGGGCAGTGCAGCCACCATAATGGGGCGCTTGTGCGTGGCCAGTGAAGGGGGAAACCACACAGATGGCTCTGTAGAGCCGCCCCCAGCCCTCTAGCTGTTTCCTTGAGTGCGAGGCATCACGCGTACGTTTCCTTCTTCCGTGTCACAGCACCAAGCCCAGAGAGCCAGAGTCTGTGTGCCCATATACGTGTGCACATGTGTGGTGCACACACTACCCATGTGCACACATTATGTACACACATGTGTTTGCACGTTGCATGAATTGTGTGCAAGGGTAGGTATTGTGCATGGGTGCACATGTGTCTGTTATATCCTATGTGCGTGTGAGTGGGTATGCCTGTGGGTGTGGCACACATGCAACAGGTGCCTGTGGGGCCATATGTGTGTGCACGTGGGATGCACTGTGTTTGGGGGGCACTTGTGTATGTATGTGGACAGTAATCCACAGGAGGCCCAGTCAACACAAACCCATGTCAGTGGATATAAATGGACAAACACGGATTTTCTGTCACCTTACAGGCCACCTCTGCCGGTTTTGATGGGACTAAGTGGTCTACACCAAGGACAGGGGAGAGTGCGGGGCATCCAGCTTCGCCAGGAGCCAGACCCGGGGGCAGAGAGGCAGAGGGGCCAGGCCCAGAGGAGGCGCTGCTCTCTGTCAAGGTGGTAGAGCAACTGTGCCCTCCACCCACTCTGGGGTCACCCCCAGGACATAGCAGCCTGGACCCTGCAGAGTGGGAGGCACCCAGGGTCCAGTCCTCTCCTCCCAACCAAAGTACAGTGCTTTGGAAGGCCCGTAGCCCTCTCTTGTCCAACCAGAAGCGACCTGGTGAGAGTCGGCCCCCACGCATGCTCAGAAAGCGGGACTCCTTCCTCCTGCCTCCCTCCGTGAAGCCTTCCCTCCGCGGCACCACGTGGCCTGCCCTTTCCCCCAGCGCCCACACTGGGCTGGCCCAGCCCCTAATTCTTCATGTACCTGTCCTTGGGAAACCAGGGCCCGCAGCTTCTTACCCTCCCCCCAGCACTGCACACCCATCAGGGCCTCAAAGAGCACCTGAGGAGCGTCACACCTTGATGGAACAGGACATAAGCCTCAGCCATTCACGTTCATTGCCAGAAGACAGATAAACACTGGAACTTACTCCCTGCCCTTGAATCTCAACTGGGTCTCAAACCCTATCACCTTTACACCCCCGCATTCTTTCTCAGGTTCCCAAGGCCCAGCAGGGCCACCTGAAAGGCCAGTTCCAGGAATTCCCATCCACCCGCTGCCCCTACCCGCACCCCCATCCCAAGCCCTCCTAAAACATAAAAAGGCCGGGCCCCTGGGGTCAGGGCCTTCCGCCACGTGTTCCATCACATGCATGCCAGCAGTGGTCACCCACCTCTATGAATTTACTTTCTTTGAATAAATTCTGTCCGGCTGCCTCCTCTCTGTTCTACACCTCTTTCCTGACACACACAGCACTTGACAGCAGTTGCAAATGCTGAGTCCAGGTAGGTCGGGTTGCAGCGGTGAGACCACTCCCAGCCCCCTTCATAAATGAACAAACGGAAGCTCGAGGCGGTGACATGACTGTTTCCAAGATCTGATTAATAATGAAGAGAGTGGGAAGCAGCCAGGACTCAAACTCACGACTGCCTGACTGTGCTGTGCACGTCTGATGATGTTCAGGGCCCCCAGGGGTCTTCCCCTTCCTGTGCGAGCAGAGCTCTCAGCCATAGCCAGGAAGCCCACATCTGGGCCCCTGTCCCCTCCTCCTCCTCCTCTTCCTCTGCCACCTCCTCACGGGCTATGCTTCCAAACCTTGACCAATACACCTGGGGTGTGGTCTTTTTACAGACACGGCTCTTCTCTCAAGAATGCTCCTGTAGAGCTCATCTCCTCTCTCACCAGGAAGCAAGAAGAAAACAGAGCTAAACCCTCAGGAGGGAGGGGACACCTAGGTCCTCGCATAAAATATTCTGAGTGTTCTTCATTATCCTGGATAAGCATTTATCCTGGATAAATATCCTGGATATTATCCTGGATGAGACACAAGACTATTGTTGGATTAATAACCACAGGGAAAGAGGAAGAAGGAAGAAGCAGCAGATTAAAAGTGTATCTCAATTGGAAGACTAACTCCCAATTGCGACAGTTAAAAAGGGAACAAAAACCTGCATGTCAGAAAAAAACAAAGTAAACGCATCATCAGAAAGAGTTACTTTCTGATATTTCTTAGCCATTCAAGAAAGATTTTAGAGGTCACCTGCTCAATGGCCCTTAGTTTCTGAGGAGTAAATTGGTCCTGGCAAGGTTGGTACCTTACAGCCCCCTAGTTCAAGGTCCCCCATTCCACCTGCTTCCTCCCTCCAGGTTTCTAATGGTTTCTATCACCTTGCACTCCTTGATAAGCTCTCCTCTGTAGTAGCAACTATAAAGAGAGCTATTAGATAAGTAGAGATAAGGCCAGGGTCTAAAAAGCCAGATTTTTCTATGTTGGCTTCCTGGTTGTACCAGGAAACACCTCCCTTTACCTTGTGGCCCAAAGGTTAGGAAGAGAGCTGCCCAGGTCCAGGAAAGGCAGGAGGCTGCCTTCTGCAAGGCTTTGTGTTTTAACTGAACCACAGAAACTTACCCAAGGTAGGCGCGGTCACCAGGCTGCTTCAGGGGTGGTCCCTCATGGTCCAGGTGTCAGCCAGGACGTCACAGCCTCATGACTGCTCAGCGCCAATTTGCGGGTTACCAGGAGGCCTTTTCAAGGAAAGACAAGAGGCCTTGCGGGAGGTTTCTAGGGCCAGGGCTAACACCAGGGAAGCAGGGGCTTCCGGGGCCCCAGAACCTGCTCCTGTGGGAGGGTGACCCCAGGATGAGTGAATGAATGATGAGTGGTGTATGCTTGTGTAAATGTAGACACACGCTGACTGATTTGTAATTTGAATCTTTTGAAAAGGTAATTAAATTAGCATTTTTAGATGTTAAAAAAAAAGGAAAAGGAAGAAGATTCTGCGTGGCTGTGGCGCCCGGTTTCAGCTGGATTCCTGGCTCTGGCTCCGGATTCCAGCTTCCCGACAAGGCACGCCTTAGGAGGCAGCAGGTTCAAGCAGTTGTGTCCCTACCGCCTACACGGGAGATCCAGACTGAGTTCTCTACTCCTGGCTTTGACCTGCAGCGGCCCCAGCCACTGCAGGAATTTGGGGGATGAATCAGAAGACAGGAGGGCACTCACTCTCTCACTCACTCACTCTCTCTCCCTCTCAAATAGATAAATTAATAAGTTTGTTAACGCCTGCTTCATTTACTTGTAGAACTAGATGTGGCGGCCAGCTGATGAGGTTGCTCAGGGCTGATTCCAAACTCAGAGACCACAGAGCTGGGTGATTACAAGAATCAGCAGAGGGGCCGGCGCTGTGGCACAGAGGGTTACGCCTTCATCTCCTGTGCTGGAATACCAATTGGGGCTGGTTCCTGTCCAGGCTGCTTCACTTCCAAACTAGCTCCCTGCTAATGAGCCTGGGAAGGCAGCAGAGGATGGCCCAAGACCTTGGGCCCCTGCACCAAGGTGGGAGACCTGGAAGAAGCTCTTGGCTTCTGGCTTTGAACCTGGCTCCTGTCATTGAGGCCACTGGGGAGTGAACCAGCAGATGGAAGACTTCTGTCTCTCTGCCTCTCTCTCTCTGTAACCCTGCCTTTCAAATAAACAAATTAAAAAAAAAATCAGCAGAGATACTTCTTTAAATACAGCTGTCTGGGCCTCAGATTCTAATACACCAAGATTAGTATAGGGCCTGGGTGTTTTTTTGTTTATACTTCCCAGATAACAGTCTTTACATTGTGATAAAATATGCACAATTCCCCTATGATTTTGATGCACAGCCCAGCATCGAAAGATAAAGACTCTGAGCATACCCACCAGGCAGCAAACCAGGGAATTTTCAGATTGGTACAGCAGCAGATTCGCATGGGAATACAGCAGTCCCTCCCCACTGTCTGCAGTTTCTCTCCTTGGCTTTGGTTACCCAGAGTTTGAAAATATTAAATGGAAAATTCCACAAATAAACAATTCTTGAGTTTTACACTATGTACTATGGGGCCGGCACTGTGGCATAGTGGGTAAAGCTGCTGCCTGCAGTGCCGGCATCCCATATGGGCGCCAGTTTGAGTCCCAGCTGCTCCACTTCTGATCCAGCTCTCTGCTATGGCCTGGGAAAGTAGTAGAAGATGGCCCAAGTCCTTGGGCCCCTGCACCCGCATGGGAGACCTGGAAGAAGCTCCTGGCTTCAGATTGGCTCAGCTCTGGCCGTTGCAGCCAATGCAGGAGTGAACCAACGGATGGAAGACCTCTCTCTCTCTCTTTATCTCTCTCTCTCTCTGTCTCTTCTATGTAACTCTTTCAAATAAATAAATAAATCTTTTAAAAAAAATAAAGTGTGTACTATTCCGAGAAGCATGGCAGAATCTCACACTATGCTGCTCCATCTCCCCCAGGATGCGAATCGTCCCTTCCCCCAGTGTACCCGTGCTGTATCCACCACCCGCCTGTTAGTCACCCAGAAGCATCCTCAGTGGTCCAATGGCCAGCTTGTGTCCCGCCTCCTTCACCCAGCAGCCCGATGTTGCCTCACTGCATCTCATCATGTAACCACTGTATCATCCACATCGTTCCAAAGGGAAGATGCGTACAAAACGTACTGAGATGGAGACAGACTACAGTCACCTTTCATTACAGTATGCTACCATAATGATTCCACCAAATTATTGTTAACATCTTACTGTGCCTAATATCGAAACTGAAATGGATCATAGGTGGGTACGCACAGGAAAACGTAGAGTTATAGGGATCTTACTGTCTATGGTATGAGGCACCGTTGCACAGAGGGGACGGCTGTGGTGGGAAGCAGGTCTGGACTCCAAGGCAGCGGTGCCCTAGTAGCTCACAGAGGACTCTGCTTTCACTCAGCAGGAAGTGGGGCCCTGGCAGCCTTCTGAGGTCGGGGAGCGGTGAGAGCTGAAAGACAGAGATAGGACGAGCAATGACAGTGTGTCTCTGGGGCTGCGTGGAAGCACACAAGCCTGTCCGAAGCGCCACCACACCCAGCACATGCCGGAGTCTGGAAAGCTACCAGGAAGAGGAAAGGATTCCCTGCCTGAGGAACTTAGATTCCAGCTGTGGGGAAAAGCCACTGACGCACTGGGAAACAACCAATGAAAACCACTTGGCCACTTGGAGGCCTTTAAACGAGAACTGGCCCTGGAGTCATGGACCCCCAGACCTCAGGAAATGCTGGACTTTAAGGAAATGATGGAGGTGAACACCAAGATCTCTCTAAGCTTGAGTCAGGGGAGAGATAAGCAAGGGATCAATAACAGTGAGAGCTTTATGGGACAGTACCTGGCAGTGCCTGGATACTCGCAAGTTGTAATCTTCACCTATTTTTTTTAGGAGTTGCAAGCCACTGCTTGTTTTGAGTTACTACTTGTGTGTATATCTTTTATTTAAACGGAATCACTAATGGGACGCAGGCTGTGCAGGCTGGGTCTGGCAGGTAGCTGGTGCCAGGTGGCTCTACGGAAGCCGATGGTCCCCACACTCAAGGACAGATAAGACTTCAGCCAGTTAAGTGAGGGCTTCAGCTCGGCCGCGGTGGACACTGTCAAGGTGGCCCTTGATATTTCTGGAAAACATGTCCCCATATCTTGTGACCAGACCACATCAGAAAATTCCAATGTACAGACAGATCCGCCGCCCAAGTTACAGACGAGGTAATCTGAGTCCAGGTTTACTGTGTGGGCTGATGCTAAGTGGTCTCACCAACAAACTGCTGCACTGAGTGATCAATGATTTCTAGATCAGTTTTAATTTTATCATGGAGGAAAAAAAATGGCATGCTTTTTAAAAAAGGATAAAGTGTTTCATTTTCTTAAAAAGGACAAAAGAGACCAAGGTGAATTTTCACTTTACATTTGTTGTAGAATAAGCAGTTTTTAAAAAGATGACATATTTGTAAGCTTATCATATGCAATGGAGATAAATCATCTCCCAGTATTCAGATGGAAGAAGCTGGCCAGCAGCTATTCCCACCTGGGCTCCTCCTGCTTCTCAGGGCCATCCCGGAGGCCCAGGCTCTCCACCAACGGTCTCAGAGTGCCCGCGCTCCCACCCCAGCTTCCCTGCATCTGTGATGCCGTGGGGAGTCCTGGGCCTCCCCACTCCACCCACCGCAGCTTTGTGGGAGCAGCTCTTCCTGCTTTGGTCCTGCTTCCTGCCTGGGCCAGCTGGCACCGGCAGCATCCAAGCCCTGGGTACAGTACCCAAGCCTTCACTGGTCCCCACGCAGCCAGGTCTGAGATTGAAAGTGACCGAAGTACTCCAGTGTGGTGAAGGAGACCTTCCCGGGCTTTGCTGCTGGAGCAGGGAGATACCCCACTGATGAAGTCTTCAAGAGACAAAGACAAAAACAAATCTGCAGAGCAGGCATGTAGCACAGTGTATAAAGCCATTGCTTGGGGGTGTCCACATTCCATACTGGAATGCCTGCGATGGAGTCCATCTCCACCTCCCATCCAGCCTCCTGGTGATGTGCCTGAGAGGCAGCAGTGGAGGCCCAAGTACTTAGGTTTCTGCCGAGCACATGGAGACCCCGGAGGAGTTCCAGGTTTCTGGCTGTGGCCCAACCCTGGTTGTTACAGGCATTGTGGGGGAGGGGTTGGGGGGAGGCAACACTGTGACGTAGCAGGTAAAGCCACCGTCTACAGTGCCGGCAACCCATATGGGCACCAGTTCAAGTCCCAGCTGCTCTACTTCTGATCCAGCTCTGCTATGGCCTGGGTAAGCAGTGGAAGATGGCCCAAGTCCTTGGGCCCCTGCATCCACATGGGAGACCCGGAAGAAGCTCCTGACTCCTGGCTTCAGATTGGCTCAGCTCTGGCCATTGCAGCCAACTGGGGAGTGAACCAGCAGATGGAAGATCTCTCTCTCTCTCTCTCTTTCTCTCTCTCTCTCTCTGCCTTTCCTTCTCTCTCTGTGTAACTTTGACTTTCAAATAAATTTTAAAAAAAAAAGGCATTTGGGAGTGAACCAGCAAGTAGATCTCTCTCTCTCTTTCACACTTGTTCTCTATAACCCTCTCTGTCTGTCACTCTGCCTTTCAAATAAATAATTTCTTAAGGGATTTATTTATTCATTTGAAATAAATAAATAAAAATAAAACCCATTAAGCCACAGTGCAAGCTCTCAAATAAATAATTTTTAAAGATAAATAACTTCAATTCACATTTTAATTATATCATGGATTATGCTTACTCAATGCACTGGTTGTATTAGCAAATTTCTATTTATTTAATTAATTAAATATTTACTTATTTATTCATTCATTCATTCAGAAGGCAAAGAGAGAGCGCTCTCATTGACTGGTTTATTCTACAAATGCCCGCAACAGCCAAGGCAGGGTCAAACCAAAGCCAGGAGCCCAGTGCTGAATCTTGGCCTCCCACGTGCATTGCAGAGATTCAACCATCTGAGCCGCTACCATTGCCTCCCAGTTGCACAGGGTGCACTCCCAGGGTGCATTAGCTGGGAGCTGAACTGGGAGAAGAGCCTTGTACTCAGGCACTCCAATGCGGGTGTCCCAAACACCATCTTAACTGCTCCGCCAAACGCCCACCCCAGTAAAGCACAATTTTAAGACGACTTACAAGGTAATAATATGATAGCACTATGAGCGGCTTCCCATCATATTCAGGCTTCTACCTAGTCCCAGAGGTCTTGTGAGTCACGAACCAGCCCTAGACAGACTTCCACAAAAGCACTGCTCCTAGAATCCCAAGTGCAGACGAACACGTACTTCTGTGGGAACTCAAGAAATCGGCTACAGGAATTCATCAAGACTTCCCTTGCAATCAAGAAATTACTTAGTACTTTTTTGGGGAAGTAAACTTGGCTTCTTTTCTTTAAAGATTTATTTACTTACCTGAAGGGCAAAGTTACAGAGAGAGGGAGCGACAGAGACAGAAAGGTCTTTCATCCCCTGGTTTACTCCCCAAATGGCTGCAATGGCTGAGCCTAGGCCTGGCCAAAGCCAGGAGCCTGGTCGTCCATCTGAGTCTTCCACATGGGTGGCAGGAACCCAGGAGCTTGGGCCATCATCCGCGGCTTCCCAGGCACACCGTCAGAGACACAGCAGCTGGGACTTGGACCAGCTCATCCTGCTGCGCCACAGCATTGGCTCCCACCTGGTTTCTGCAGCACCAGCTTGCACACAGAAAAGTTAAAAACATGGAAATTAAACTGGCACAAGGGTTGGCCTTGTAACCAGAAACAGAGGAGCACTCAGTCTATTTTTTTTTTTCTTTCAAGATCTTTATTTTACCTATTTCTCTATTTGAATAGAAGAGAGATCTCCTGTCTGCTGATTCACTCCCCAGACCCCCACACTGGCTGAGGCTGGGCCATGCCAGGCAGAAGCCAGGAGCTGAGAATTCAATTTGGGTCTCCCACGTGGAAGGCAGGGCCCCAAGTGCTTGAGCCATGACTGCTGGAATCAAACCGAGGCACTCTGATATGGGATGTGGGTGTCCTACCCAGCTTCCATACTGCTGTACCAAACGCCTGCCCAAGCACTCACTCTTGAGCCCACAGGAGAACTGGCTCCACCATGACAGTTTTCAAGCCGGCTTTGTTTCTGTTTGGAAACTGAGGCTTGAGGTTACAGGTCAGGTCACGGGGTCCTGGAACTAGGAAGGACCTCAGTGGACCTTCCCCTTCCCCCATTCTACAGATGAGAAGACGGCTTCAGAGGGGGCAAAGCAGTAGATCCGACACGCCCTCCTCCCTCTGCTGGAACGCAGTTTCTTCCCCTCTGCCTCAGGACAGTTCAGCTGGGGGCAGGTGTGCCCAGAAGGGGAAGGGGTGGGGATGCAGACTGCGAGGAGGAGGGGCATCTCGCTGGGCATTTTGCTGGGCAAGGTGCCGTGGTCCTCTGCATACTATGTCCTGGGAGGACGGAGTCAGCTGCCTCCTGATGAGAATCCAGCACGGCCCTACCCCGCCACACCCCGGAACCCCTGACCAAAAGGGCAGCTTATCTCAGCTCTCTTTGTGTGCCAGTGACTGTGGCCGAGGGTGCCGAGGCACTGGGGGCAGCTTCCTGTTGGCGCAGCCGGCCACAGATTGCCCAACTCCCCTCGGTCATCTCCAGGCAGCCAATGCCAGAGCCAGGGACTCTGCTTTTCCCGCCTTCTTTTCTGGTCTATCTCAACTCTTTCTCTTCAACACGCGAGCCAAGGCTGCACGTCCCCTCATCTTCCCTTTGCCTGGTTTTCCTGCAGTTCTCCTAGCTCACCTCTCTCAGCTGGGTCCAGGTCTGGCCGCCTCACCTTGGAATTCAGACCTGGCCTTGCTGAAGAGCCGTGGGCACCCATCTGCTCCCGAGGCTGGCCTGCTCCCCTGGCACCTGCCTTCTCTGTCCCAATCCCTTTCTTGCTGGAGGCACCTGGCGCAGTCTGCCCACCCAGGTGTCTCTTACGTGGCCACCCTCTGCCCCTCCCAATCTGTTTTGCTTCGTCTCCTGTTTTTCTTAGCTTGCAGCCATCATGACAAGCTTGTGAAATCACACACAGAGCCTCAGGGTGTGCACTCTGCTGCTCCATGTTAAGGCATGTGGCTGGGGCTTGCTGACTACAACCACCCGCATCACAGAACACGTCTGAGGAATATCTGGCACCTCTAGACAAGAAGGGACCTGCCAAGAAGCCAACAAATCCATCTCTCGGTCTTCCGACTGAAATATCTCTGGAAACCATACCCCTGATGGCGAAACCTACCCATTAAGAGACATTAAATAACCAAGGCTCTGTGCCCGACTTACGTCGCTTAGCATAATGTCCTCCTGGCTCTTCCACGGTGTGGTAAACCAGATTTCCTTTCCCAGGGTGACTACAGCGCCACTGTGCAGGTGCATCGTGCTTTCCTTATCCCTTCGTGTGTCAATGGACACTTGGGTGCTTTCC